CCTCCGGGCCTTGGGCCTCTTGTCTTAAATATATTGAAATTGAAATTGAAGCTATTTACTTTATCATCTTTGTGGTACGACGAATGCAGCCGTTTTGTAAGATATTTTAGCATATTGCTTCTCTGATAATATTGTACTAGCCCTTGTCTAGCCTCAAACTGGGAGTTCAGATTTGCGTGTTCGTGTGTGGTTCTCCATCTGATTAGCTGAATAAGTCTGAATAAGTACTAGCCTTAATACTACATTTCCTTCACCGACGCCAACAATTGAAAGGTACTCCTAGATGGATTTTGTCAACACTGTCAGACACTGTCCACCTAGCTTTCTTACGATCTAAAGAACCTGTTGGCAACAATTACACTTACATTTTCAGTTTTTGGTTCTGCAATAAGGTGTAGTTTAAGGTGAACAAGTTACTATCTGCCTAACTTCTTTGCCGTAATATATTCACCGTTACCGATAACTAGTGATCGGACCAGACCGGATGCTCTTAAAACAGTCACCTATTTATTCGTGTTGGTATCTTGACGTACCAATAACGGAAAGGTAGCGAATTTAATAAATTTCCACTTTCTGTTCGTAACCAATATATAATTGCAAGAACATACGTTAATCCTGTACCCAAAGGATGGCAGTTAGTGAATTTTCTTTTGTAATAGTCAAATAAGCTCACTTACCAGAATGTTTGGCCATATTATCAATGTGTGATACTAGAGTCTGCGACCAATTTGGTTCAGCCATGCCCTCGTCCACTTATTTGAAAGTTCACCTCAATCACGCACATAGTCTGGTGCCGGGAAACAAATTATAGCAGGCGCAAACATTCAAGAATTTAAGAACAGAAACCGAATCTCTTTCTGCAGCCCTGATTTAGGGAAAATGCTGTAGCTTCTGGTCGTCTGGAGGAATTTCTACGTTCATCCGAAGCTTCCGCATCAATTGAGTTACCTTCTGCGCTATGAAATACTTCGGCGAATAAAGTGTAACTGCCATCGGTACGGGAGCTCTAGTTATTGCTATTGGTGAACTGTTTCAAAATGTATGTAATACGAGCATGGCATTAATCCAGACCGAGTGCCGAGCTGGGCGGTAATTCATGATCCCATATTTACTTTCG